GTGCCGTGGCGTCAGCCTAGCTCACAGCAACCTCAAACTCCTGGGCTCAAGTGATCCTACTGCCTCAGCCTCCCGAGTAGCTGGGACTACAGGCACGAGCCACTGTGCCTGGCTGATTTTTTTTTTTCTATATATTTTTAGTTGTCCAGATAATTTCTTTTTTTTTTCAGTAGAGACGGGGTCTCGCTCTTGCTCAGGCTGGTCTCGAACTCCTGAGCTCAAATGATCCGCCCTTCTCGGCCTCCCAGAGTGCTGGGATTACCGGTGTGAGCCACCAGCCCAGCCCTTAGGAGTTCTCTTTATTTGAGCTGAATCAGATCTCACTAGTGCCAACAGCCTTTTCCCTTGGGGTATTTGTCAAAGTTAATCAGGAGCAATTGTTTAACATGTCAGATGACTGAGGTGGCCATAATGAACAGGTTAACATGATGCTGGTAAAAGAAAAAGCCAGGCAATGAGATGTCCATCAGGGCCTTTGAAAAGCTCTGACATATTCCTTGGAATCTAAAAGACCACGTGCATGATGCTCAGGGGCATGTACAAACCCAGGAAAAATCTTAGAAGGCCCTAAACTACTGCCTCTGACTAATCTGACTAATCTTGAGACCCTGTGCAATCAAGAATTGAAGGCTAAGGCTGAGTTGTCAACTGTCTGGCTGAGTGTTCAAGGTAAACCACAACACAACACCAAGACCCTTGGAAAAAACAAGAAGACTTTTTGGATCCACGCATTTAAGAAAATCTGTTCATTCATTAGCTGACCAATAAGCTAAATAAGCAGAGACTTCAGAGGCCACACAGGACAAAGAATACAAATTTTTAAAAATTTATTCAGGAAAATCACTAAATAAGTAACAGCTGCAACAACAATAAACAGCAAAAAAACCAAACTCCAGTATGGTGAAGAATTTAATTTTTGGAGATGTCACATATTATTTAAAATGTCCAGTTATCAAAAAAATTATAAGACATGTAAAAATAAAAAAGAATTATGCTACTCAGGAAAAGAAGCAGCCAATACATAATGTTCCTGAGAAAGCCTAAACATTGGACTTACTACATAAAAATGTTAATTAAGGTATTTTCAATATATTAAGAAAACTAAAAGAAACTGTGTCTACCAAACTAAAAGAAAGTTTGAGACCTATGTTTCACCAAATAACATCAATAAAACAAAAGAAATTAGGGAAAAGAATCAAATAAAAAATCTGAAGTTAAAAAATATAATAACTCTAATAAAACATTCACTAGAGGAATCAAATTAGTTAACAGAAGAAAGAATCAGTGAACTTGAAGACAAATCAATTGAGATTATCCAGTCTGAGGAACATAAAGGAAGAGACCTATGGGACACAACAGAGTATCAATATGTGCCTATCTCCAGTAGGAGAGGAGACAGAGAGAAATGGACAATATGCAACAAATAATTTGGTTGGCCTTTTCCCCTGGTTCCTGGGAGGTAACCTCAAATCCAGGGGCAGGAGTGTCTTTGTTATTCATGGTAATGCCCCTGAGATCACACCTGATAGTTTATACTACAAGTCGACGTATGTTGGGCCACTAGATAGTTTAGGCTAATGAGACAGGATGGAGCTGGACACACCAGAAAGATCAACCACATGATTAGAAGGCTGGGGTTCTGAGTAGCATGCTATCAGTCCGATATCAGACTAACCTCCTCAAATTCTATTTATATGGGCCGGGCACGGTGGCTCACGCCTGTAATCCTAGCACTCTGGGAGGCCGAAGCGGGTGAGACCAGCCTGAGCAAGAGCGAGTCCCTGCCTCTACTAAAAAAATAGAAAGAAATGATC